TCCCTAAGGATGAAGGGGGTCAGGAGCAGATGTGTGTTATCTGAACAATTGAGTTTATTTAATCCTATGAAAGTCCAACACCAGCACAGGTATTTTGCTATGGCACTATGCACAGCCCCATCTCAGCACCTTCAGGGACAGCTGAAAGATCCCTGCCTCCTGCCGAGCCGTCCACAAACCCTCCATGACCAGCTGGCTCGAGCTGACGTTTTGCAATCCTTGGGCTTCTGCTCTGCACAGGCCAGGCCGATGGCAGCAGGGATTGAAACAGGATGACCTCTCCTCCTGTTTGGTTCTGGGGAGTGCTTTATTGGAACTGCAGAGAGCACCTGCCATGACCTGCGTAGAGAGCACTGAGCTTGCTCTTCATCTCTCATCTGATATGGCGGTGCTCAGTTTTGTTGCAGTGAGTCCGGATCACAGGATTCTTACCCATAACAGAAGTGGGGTTAATCTGGCTGTCTCAGACACTGCCCTTATACAGGGAGACATAAAATATTTTGCCCACCGATTTGATGATGCTTTTTGTAATCAGACACTCCTTATTAATCTTTCTTGCAGACAGGGAAACTGAGGCACAGGGAGGGGTGACAGATAGGTCAAGGTATCTTGAGCACTCAGTGAGACTTAAAGCCGCAGAAGGCTGTCACAACACAAAGGCACAGCTCTTCTCTCTCTCTGCTCCCCCTTGGTTTAGAGCTGTAAAAATCTGCAGCTGGTCCAATGGCAACCAAAGATATCCACATATCAGCCAGCGAGAGGCTGTGGAGCAGAGCTGAGTTCATGCCCCTCCTGCCTCTCGCTGCCTTCTGGGAGCATGGTGTTGAGGTGTGCAGTGAGCAGCCAAAGCTGAAGGATTTAATACCAGGTAGCAAATTGGTGTCAGTGCTGGGAACAATGATCTTGGCACCCCCAGAGGCCTTTGTCCTGGGTCAGATTAGACTGGCAGTCAGGCAAAGTCTCCATCCATTTGCAAGCATTTCTGACTGCCATCCTTATCTGCCAACATCTCTGACCTCCATCCTTGTTTGTGAGCAGCTCTGATCTCCATCCTTGTCTGTGTTGCTCAGGCTTTAACCCAAAGTGGGACGAAGAGTTTACATTTGACATAGAGATCCCTGCACTTGCCCTGGTCCGGTTTGTGGTGGAAGACTTTGATATGTCGACCAAGAATGACTTCATTGGGCAGTACACCCTTCCCTTCACTAGCCTGAAGCAAGGTAAGGTCCAGCTCCCTGTTCCTCACACTCACTGAGCCTTCTGGGAAGCTCCAGCATCCTGGATGAGTGGTCCAGACCCCTTACACCTCTTTCTGGGGTATGGACAAGATGATAAATGGTCTATTGAGCAGCTGTTAACAGTTTCTGAGGAAGGGATCCCCTTGTCACCAGCGGCCTCGGGCACGTAACGTTACCAGTGCTCAAAGTCATGCCTCTCAGACCTACCTGTTCTGTGGGGTACTGGGAGCAAAATGCTCTCAGAAGCAGGGATGTGTTTTTTCAGGGTCTTGGCAAATGTTAGGAAATATTTTTCCAGCTGGACTAAAGGCCACTTTCCATCTGTGTCTCTGCTTCCAGGTTACCGCCACATCCATCTTCTGACCAAGAATGGAGACCCGTATTCCTCCTCCACCCTCTTTGTGTACATCAATATCCAGGACTGCGATTAGCAGCTCAGCTCTTTCAGGGCACAGTGAACCTCGTTAGAGACCTAGAAGGAATTCAGTGTGAGAAGTCTGCTAATATCAGGGTCCCCTCAAATCCCCAGTGCCTTCTCTTGGAGCAGCACACAGTGTTCCATGGGACCCCTGATGTGAAATAACCATCAGCCCTTCTCCATTCTGCGTGCTGGAAACATCCCAATGCTGCTGTTGACATTAATCCTTTTGTACCTGTTTGACCAATCCACCTGGGTTTTTAGTTCACTTTATTTAGTGTGATTTTTTAATTCTGCTTTTAGCGAGAGGATAGGGACTCCTTTTTAGCAAAGTACAGCTCTTGGGTTGCGTTCGGTCAGACATCTGGATAAAACACCCAACATCCATGCAAGAAAAAAATCCACCCACCACTGAAATCAGTGGCCGGATGCCAGGTAACTTCTTGCAACTTCAGATGTCAGCTCTTTCACCCTACGAAGTCTTAAATGGGGACACAATTCTCTTATCTGTTACAGATTAAAAAAGAAAACTGCACTACAAAGGCCCATGTTATATAACTTGACTTTCCTTTTGTATTATAATAAAAAATACATGAACACTACTCTGCCTGTGTGCCTGGCTCTCAGCCAGGTCGCTTTGCATTCAAAGCCTGGCTCTCCTCCTGTGAAGGAGAAAGAAGCTGCCGAACGGCAGATTTCCCTCTATCCCAAAGTGAAACCCACTCAAAGGGAACCTCAGAGAATGTCTTTTGCTGATGACAGTGGAAATATGCTCAACTGACAGTAGGGCTTTTTTTTCTTTTTTTTAAATGCAGTAAAACTTTCTTTGTTTGTGTTTTTATAGAAAAACATCATTTTTTAACACAGAGGAAGCGGCAGTAGAAACCATTGTAAGTGTTAGGCTGGTCCCGATTGCACTGTAGAGGTAACCTAGCACAAACAGACAAGAGTGTTTTGAACAGCAACACAGTATTTATGGCAAAAGGCGATTTTTCTTCAAGTACAACTACAGAGTTAAGGGAATATTGTTGAAATAAAATAATATATATTTTGAAGTGCCAACTATGTTGCTAACAATGTGTTAGACTATTAAAAGGAAAAAAAATCTGGAAAAGTTCAATTACTTGTCAGTATTTGCCTCTTTGTCGTACTTGAATACAACACATGTGAAGATGGAAATAGACCTGCTTAGTTTCTTAAGCTATCAGACTTCCTGGGGTTCTTCATGTCTGGCAGTGGAGAGGACGGACTGCTACCACAGAGGTGTCCTTTTCAACAAATTCCAGTCCATTCAGTCCCCCACCTACTTTGGAGTCCAAAATAGCCTGGATTTAGTGATCCTTTGGCCCAATGCAAAACTGGGTTTCATTTAGTCCTACCTGGAGTTTGTTATGCTGCAGTAATCATTGCTGGACGCATTGATTTTTCCTCTTCACTACAAATATTGTGTGATGTTGTAAACCATTGCCAAATTAAATGTGAATTATATCCACAACTCAAAGGCTCTTACTGAATGAATAACCAGCAGCTGAAAGAGTCCACTGAGGCAGATCGGGGGGGTCCTGCAGTGACGTGGGCTCTCAGCTTACCTCGGGGATGGGGCATGTCGTAGCAGGAGATGCATTTGAAGATCAAGGCTGGAGCATCCTTGAATCCCACTCTGGGACAGCCTGAGTTCGATCCCTGCTCCCAGGATGCTCTCAGCATCTTGTTTCAAGGAGTCATGGGACATAAAAGCAGGAGCGAAGGATACCCAGGACTGCCCCGTACCATGCAGGGAGCTTGCAGCGCGCGGCCTGAGAGCAGGCATGATCAGAGGCATTTGTGCCCCTCTCTCGTGTCAGCATCATCTCTTGTGGGGCAAGTTGGATCAGCCTGCTGAGTTGGCTGAGAACAAATCAATTGCATTTTTGGTGTTGCAGGAACAGATTTTCAGTTGGGTTATTGAGATAAGCCAGCCCTCACCTACCTGCTGTGGCCAGCACTAGAGAAGTGGGGGACAGGAAGCGGGGAGAGATGTGGGGGCAGAACCACACTATCCAGGGTCATGGACTACACAGAGAAACCAGGGTTTCCTCTGCCTGTTGTGCACTTAAATAAAGGCAGACAAGTTCCATGGGAAGAGAGAACATCCCTCATCAGGTAGGAGAGTTGGGGGAAAACTACTGGAGCCAGGTGGGAAAGCAGCTGAGATGGAGATGGGATGGACTAGAGCAAGCATGGCCAGCAGGGCGAGGGAGGGGATTCTGACCCTCTGCCCTGCTCTGGGGAGACCCCCCTGCAGTGCTGCGTCCAGCTCTGGAGCCCTCGGCACAGGAGAGACATGGACCTGCTGGAGCGGGGCCAGAGGAGGCCCCAGCAACGCTGCGAGGGCTGGAACAGCTCTGCTGGGAGGACAGGCTGGGAGAGCTGGGGGGGCTCAGCCTGGAGCACAGAAGGCTCCGGGGAGACCTTCCTGCAGCTGCCAGGGCTGAAAGGGGCTGATAAGAAAGATGAGGACAGACTTTTTAGCAGGTCCTGTTGCCATAGGACAACGGGTAATGGTTTTAAATGAAAAGAAGGTAGGTTTAGACTAGGTCTAAGGAAGAGATGTTTCACAATGAGGGTGGTGAAACCCTGGCGCAAGTTGCCCAGAGAGGCGGTAGATGCCCCATCCCTGGAAACATCCCAGGTCAGGTTGGACGGGGCTCTGAGCAACCTGCTCTGGTTGAAGATGTCCCTGGTCACTGCAGGGGGGTTGGACTAGATGGCCTTTACAGGTCCCTTCCTACCCAAATGATTTTATGGTTCTATGATTCTATGATAGACAATGCTGCAATGTGTCCTCTCTCTCCCCAAAGGAAGGGACATGGTCCATGCCATTATCGAGGGATCCCATCTCTGAGCAGATTAGGAAGTTCTGGAGCCCCAGTCTGGGGAAAAGCTCTGGTGAAAAGAGCAGCAAAAACAGGACATGGCCCACCAAACCCCATAGCAAAAGCGGCAAGTGACATGAAAGGGAGGATGTGGGTGAGAAGCTTTCCTTTAGAAACTAGAGGCAAAGAGTAAAACCAACTCTCCTCATGAGGAGAGGAAAGCAGCAGCAGTTTCCAACAGGCCCCAATATCAAAAGGATCTATTTTCTGTAAAAACCCATGCTGGTTTCTGAGTCCGTTCATGCATGCCAGTAAGCATCGTGGCAGGAGGAATGAAAGCAACTTGTAGGGGAACATCCTAATCTCCCTAATCCAGCTGTATTTCCATTGCTCTGCATTTGATTGCGTGATGCTCGTCAGGCGCATGGTCATGGCTGATAGGTGGAATCACTGCATTTTATTGAGTAGCACATGCAATTTGTTAATTTGGGAGCTGGCAGGAGCATGCCGCAGCGGGGTGATGCAAATATTGTTGCTTCCAGCAGTGGCAATAGAGGCTGAAGCAGGGATAAAGAGCACTGATTGTATCCAGCGTGAGCACAGCAGGAGCAGGTAATTTGGCTGATTGGTGTCTCTGCTTGAGTCTCACCTTACTCTGCACGGTGGGGTTCAATGGGGTTTGGGCTGGACCCTCATGCAGAAATGGGACAAGGTGGTGGCAGGAGCATGGAGGTAATGACGGGATCATGTCGTGTTCATGGGCGATGGGGGGGCTTCAGGAGCAGGGTACATGGGCATGGGGAGACAAGTGGTCCTGGCTATGTGGTGTTTGGGAACAGGGAGGGCCTCACCTCCTCAGTTTGTTCTTTTAAAAAAATCCCAAATCCTATTAAGGATCAGGTGTTTGAAGGATCTGTGGCCCCGCAGAGCTTTTCTCTACTGCCATCCTACCCCACATGCTGATCAAGGACACCTACGGTGCCGCCCCTTGCTGTTTATTTGGAATCACCGATCAGGTTGGAAGCGGGGTAAAGCTGAAAAACCACACCTTCTGGGTTTTTAAACATATGTGTTTCTTCCTTTAGTTTACAGTTGTATCCCTAATCACTGATTGCTCACATTTATCCCTGCCCTCGCCAATCGGACTGAGCTTGCAGTACAGGATGGGCGCTCTCAGCCCCACGGATGTCACAGGGACGGAGCCCTGATAAAACCGTCAGTGGGACACACTCTGCCTCAGGTCATACCCAAAACCCTTCTGGCTTCCTCCAGCCTCTGCTCTGCAGGCAGGTGGACTCAAGTTCACCTGCAGCCGGTTGTGCTGAGGGAGGCCATGTGAGATTGGAGATGCTGTCTGAACAAGGGAAAAATAGTCAGAGTCTTGTCTTGGCAGTCAAAATCAACTGTGTCTAACCCTAAATCTCACCATCCCCTTGAAATAGATCAACTAATAAATATGTTCCTAATAAGTGGGGGTTTTTTTCCAAGCCAGGTTCTCATTTGTTTTAACTGCACTGGGCTATGCGTGTTAGCCTACAACTGATTCGTGCTGTTCTTAGGTGAGTAGCCTTTTTGCAAGGTGAGAAGGGGCTGAACTTGCTGATCTCACTCCATGGGCTTCCCCATCACACATCTGGCTACTCCATTATGTTTTTCCTGACCTCAAGGCTCCCCTTCTGTCCTCCTAGGGCTTCCCCCTCATCTCCCCACCCAGAATTTACATAGCAGCTGCAAGTAGCCTTTGTCTTGCCTAATTTTAAACTTCTACAAATGAAGGAAGATCATGGACTTGTGCAGGTGGCAATTTGCAAAAGGGAGAGGAAAGAAGAGGCTACAATACGGTTGTGTGACTCACACTTGTCTTCATGTCTATCAGCAATAAAGTGTCAAAAAGAGGCAAAAACATCCCGCAAAGTTGTTCCCGCAAAAGGTTTTGCCTCCTTGGGTTCAGGGTTTGCAGGGAGAAAGGAGCCATCCCCTGAACAGTGGCTGCTGGAATGACTGCATTGGAGCTGGGCCTGATTGAGATGTTGGGTTGGGTTCATTGAGCAAATGTCTGTACTTCTTCCCTGCAGCTCCTGAGAGAGCGAGGGTTGGTCCCGGAGTCACTGGCTGTGGATGGCCCCTGCGGTCTCAGAAGAGTCCACACTGCTTCTTCTCATTCTGCTGCTTCCATTTGGGCATCTGGTAGAACTCATCCTTGGACTTCCCAAAGATATCGTGGAAATCGGCATCAGAGAGATAGTACTGCAGCGGGAGGAGAGAGCAAGGAGAGGTCAGCTTTGGCTTTTGCAGAGGCTGGGACACCTCCATCAGCTGTACCCCTTCCTCGCTGTGCCACTGCTGACCTCTGACTCCAGGCCAACAGCTCCTGTCCAGCTGCCTGTCCTCACGGTGGGAAGTGGAATGTCTCAGCAACTGTTCCTGCTTCCCAAAGTAACAGAGGAGTATAACCCCAGCAGCCCAAAGGAATG